TGATGCCTCTCTGCTGCCAGCACAACATGCTGTTGTAGCATAGAGGAACACACACCTCAGGAGATGCTGGGCAGCAAAATGTGCACCCTTTTTCCAGACACTTTTAGGATTCAGAGCAAAATGCAAGCTGTGGCAACAGGATATATTTTGAGGAAGGCAAAGTTTATATAATGAAAATGAATGGGATAATGCATTTCTTAAAATAAAAATTTGCTTTTCCCCTGCCTGCTGCAGCACCATTCCTGTGTTCGCAACACCATCAGGCAAACAGCCACACGTGGGCCTGAACCAAGCCTAAAAAGCAAATATCAAGAGTGGGATTTCCTTGTGCTGAGGGTCAAGTTGTTCAGGCTGCTGCAAGATTGCTTTAGAAAATCTCTCTGTGTCTCTGGTGTAGTTTTGGACAATAAAATGACCTTTGTCTAGAAATACCAGGGCTTCCCTGAATGGCAGGAATACATGCATATGAACCTAGAACATTTGCTGTTGCTTAGAGATACCAGACACCTGTTTCCTGCTCTTATGTCTCCTTCAAGCTCATAAGTTTACTGTTGCTTTAACTTGCTAGACACATAACTATTCTTAGATTTTTGTCTCCTGGAAAATTGAGGAAACATATCAAAATACTTTTTAAGAGGCAGGTGTTCCCTTGAGGGACACAAAGGCATTGCTAGTAATTTAACTGTCAGGAGCTTTATTTTTCAGAAAAGATGTAGTGGGGGGGGGGTTCTTTTCTTTTCTTTTCTTTTCTTTTCTTTTCTTTTCTTTTCTTTTCTTTTCTTTTCTTTTCTTTTCTTTTCTTTTCTTTTCTTTTCTTTTCTTTTCTTTTCTTTTCTTTTCTTTTCTTTTCTTTTCTTTTCTTTTCTTTTCTTTTCTTTTCTTTTCTTTTCTTTTCTTTTCTTTTCTTTTCTTTTCTTTTCTTTTCTTTTCTTTTCTTTTCTTTTCTTTTCTTTTCTTTTCTTTTCTTTTCTTTTCTTTTCTTTTCTTTTCTTTTCTTTTCTTTTCTTTTCTTTTCTTTTCTTTTCTTTTCTTTTCTTTTCTTTTCTTTTCTTTTCTTTTCTTTTCTTTTCTTTTCTTTTCTTTTCTTTTCTTTTCTTTTCTTTTCTTTTCTTTTCTTTTCTTTTCTTTTCTTTTCTTTTCTTTTCTTTTCTTTTCTTTTTTTCTTTTCTTTTCTTTTCTTTTCTTTTTTTCTTTTCTTTTCTTTTCTTTTCTTTTTTTCTTTTCTTTTCTTTTCTTTTCTTTTCTTTTCTTTTCTTTTCTTTTCTTTTCTTTTCTTTTCTTTTCTTTTCTTTTCTTTTCTTTTCTTTTCTTTTCTTTTCTTTTCTTTTCTTTTCTTTTCTTTTCTTTTCTTTTCTTTTCTTTTCTTTTCTTTTCTTTTCTTTTCTTTTCTTTTCTTTTCTTTTCTTTTCTTTTTACTACATCTTTTACTATGATGCTTCCACAGTGAACAACCCTGGTCTTCAGCTCAATGACTGGAGACAGGCAAGGATACCAAATGGAGAAATGGCAATATGGCATGTTATGCAAGTGTTGTTAAAGCTAAATGTGAGGATACCTAAAAAGTGTGGGTTTGAATCCTTTTCCAAGTAAAATAATAATTTTTTAAAATCTATTGCTTTATCTGCACACTAGATTTTCAACAATGTACCCCACTATTTTGCTGCTGAATTGAAGCAGGCAGCAGGATGCTCTCACACCTCCAACAATGTTTCTCTCATGTGAAATGATAGCCCACTTAGAGAAACTCATTATCTGTTTCTTGATCTTTCTCCTCCCGCACTCTGAGGAGATTCCTTGTTAGCTGTGCAATCAATAAAACACATATCTTCAGCAACTAGTAAATCTAGTTTATTAGAACACAGGTTTGACAGTTAATTCAGTTGCTAACAAAGATGTAGCATGGTCAATAACCACAACAACAAAAAATGTTACCTTGTGAGTGAGATACATATATCTTCTAGATGCAAAATTATCTGATAATTGGGTGCATTGGATGGACACAGGCAAAAACATGTCAGTGAGATTAGAATGGGACTAACATTTCCCATCACAGAATCATATAATCACAGAATCCTAGGGGTTGGAAGAGACCTTGAAAGATCATCTAGTCCAACATCCCTGCCAGAGTAGGGTCACCCAGAGCATGTCACACAGGGACGTGTCAAGGTGGGTTTTGAATGTCTCCAATGAAGACGACTCCACAGCCTCTCTGGGCAGCCTGTTCCAGGGCTCTGTCACTCTCACAGGAAAGAAGTTTTTTCTGATATTCACATTGAACCTCCTATGCTCCCTTTGTAGTATTTAAGGTGCACAATATCCCACCACAGGCTCCAAGATTGTCACCTTTCCTTGCTCAGATCTACTCCTGACAGGGGAAAACGACAGAAAAAAGAGTTTGCCCCTTTCCTTCCCATTGTCTGCTTTCTCTCTGCACAGACCACCATCTTGATCCCATTCCCATTGCAAACTTTTCCTTCAACAGCAAGGGACCAAGCACTGAAAGTCTGCATGGCATTCATTAGGTCAGCTCTCAGGTATGCCACTGAATTAATGCAATAAGGATTTGGAGCATGAACTTTAGTAAAGACTTATAAAACTCTGTACTTAATATCAAAAGCAGTATAAAGTGACCAAAATATACTGACCCTGCAATTGACCATAACTCTTAGCCAACAAAAATGTGATTTTTCCAGTGACTTTTCCCTCTGACCTGCAACTACTTGTTTTCTGAGTGATCTTCCCTAGCTGTGTGTGGTTTTTTGGTCCTGCTTCAGCAGGGAGGTTGAACTCAATGATCAGAATATTAGGGGTTGGAGGTCCCTTCCAACCCCTAATATTCTGTGATTCAGTGATTCTGTGATATTTATGAGAAAGCTGAAAATAGCAAGCTGCAGTTATTTTTGTTTAGGAGCAATACTGTTCAGTTTATAGAGTGCTTTCTCCAACAAAAAGTTCAGAGCATTAAGAAAGTATTTTCACTGACAGAAACCTTCCTTTGGGTGGAGTTCACCCAGAGAGAAGGCTTTCAGCATTTTTCTTAGTTTTCATATGGGACAGGCTGCTTTCCTGGGAAATAAGACAAAATTTCTTTTTATTATAAAATGAGGTAATTGAAAACAAAATCTAAATGTGGTCAAACTGAGTTTGGAGCCTGTTTTCACTTAACTGAAAGAAGTCTGATTTTTCAGAAATGCACTTTAGAAAATACTTGGAGATTTAAAAATGCAGGCAGCTATTTGGTGAGATTTTCCAAAGTACACGTAGGTGTGTCTCCCCATTGCTTTCTAAACAGCCCTATTTCTCTTCATCTGCCTCACGCCTTTCCTCCTATTCCTGGCCTGTGCTTCCCCATTGCATTGGTGCGTGTTTGATGCCAGGGAGTTGAAAGCAACTGGAAGTTAATCCTATGAAAAAAGGGGCCAGTTTCCTCCTCAGAGCAGGCGAGGAGCATTCCTCCCTCAGGTGAGGGATTCAGGATATTTTTGGCAGCAGTTTGCTGTCAGACTGGTTTACCTGTGTGGAGGAAACACCTCCCTAGCTGCCTGTTTGGACAAAATTAATTATAGAAGTTTGTTTCTAGATCCACGCAATTCATAGAATCATAGGGTCATTGTAGTTGGAAAGACCTTTAAGACCATCAAGTCAAAGTGTTACCCTAGCACACTGCCAATCCCATCACTAAACCATGTCCCTAAGCACTACACCTACACACCTTTTAATTACCTCCAGGTATGGTGACTCCGCCTGTTTCTTGGGCAGCCTGTAGCAGTGACTGAAAACCCTCTTGGTGAGGAAATTTTCCTAATATCCAATTTAAACCTCCTGGCACAACTCAAGGCCATTTCCTCTTGTCCTATCTTGGGAGAAGAGGCCAACACCCACCTCACTACAACCTCTTTTCAAGTAGTTGTAGAGAGCAACGAGTTGTCCTCTCAGCCTCCCCTTCTCGACTAAACTCTCCCATTTCCCCCAGCCACTCATTGTAAGACCCTTCAGTTGCCCAACCTTGCCTTTCAGACAAGCACTGGCAACACTGAGCATAAAAGAGTGTTGCAGTGGCCTGGAAGGAACCAGCACACACACAGGGTGCAGCCTTTGTGCACCTGCCTCTGCCCTCCCTGCCAGCAGTTGTCTCAAAGCACTCCAGGGTTTGCTTGAAATCATTGTCTCACTTGACAATCAGTGAAATGTTGAGCAAAATACCTCTGTGACCTCCTCAGAGGGGAAATTTAGAAATGTTGTATGTCTTCTGAACAACCTGAGCTGGTGCCTGGTCCTGTTTGGCTCTCTGCCTGCCTTGTAAGGCAGCCTCAGCAGAAAGTATCAGTGATGCTGATGGAATGTTTCTGTGAGGTGCACACCTTAGGCCAGCTTTGGCAAAGGGAGCTGGCAGGGTGCTATGAAGCTGTTGGGTATAATAGTGCCTGAACCACACACCTCTGCAGACACAGGAAGATGGACCACAGAGAGCTTCAGGCACAGACACTGAAGGAGTCAGGTGAGCAGTTTCCCCTCAAGTCACTGGCTGAGTACTGTGAAATGGAATCACAGAGTCACAGAATTTGATATTGTGAAAGAGACTAGGTTGGATGGAGCTCTGAGCAACCTAGTCTACTGGAAGGTATCCTTGCCCATGGAAGGGGGGTTGGAACTAAGTGATCTGTAAGGTTCCTTCCAACCCAAACTATTCTGTGATTCTAGAAGCAAGATAAACTACGTTCAATCCCTTGTCTTGTAGAGGGTGAACACTAGAAGTATATCTACACTGCTAAATAGGACCAGGGATCACACCCAGTCACCTGCACTCTGGTCATCCTACCTGCGTTTTGGCCATCCCCAATGAGTTCTCTTCAAGATACTTTTACTCTAGATGTGTCCAGCAACAAGTAACATGGCTGCAGGCTGGATAGCACCACACAGCCTCTGCCACTGAACACTATGGACCAGATCTAGATGTCACGTCAGCCCTGTATGTATAGGATTTTGCAACTCTGCCTCAGCTATCTGTGGTACAAACTTTTGATTTTCACTTTGAAATCTTCAGCAGCGAAGTAATAAAGGATGGGATCAAGGCAGCTGTTCATGGCAGCAAGGCAGAGACTGACCACAAGTGCTTTGTGCATGGGCAGGTTGGCCTGGCTGCAGCTGCTGTACATCAGGTGGGCAGTTCGCAGTACGTGATACGGCAGGAAGCAGATAAGGAAGAGGATGAGGGTGATGATGATGGTTGACAGTGCCTTCTTGTGACAAACTGGCTTCTTGCGCTGTAGAGTCATGGACTTAAGCAATGTTTTGATTGCAAAGATGTAGCAGACAATAATTGTGCAAAATGGCAGAATGAAGCCCATGATGAGGGCAAAGCTGTTCATCAGGAGGACCCTGAACGTGCTAGAGGGGTGGAGGTCCAAGCACTTGGCTGGATTTCTGTAACCAGCCATTTCCTTGCCTAACAGAGGGCTGCAGGCTGCCAGCACAAAGACCCATATGGCAGTGCATATTATCCTGGCATACTTCATGTTGGTTATTTTCCAGTGTTTGAATGGGTAGACAATGGCTATAAAACGAACCACACTGAGCACGGTGAGAAAATAAATGCTGCCGTACATGTTCACGTACAAGGTGTAAGTCATGATTCTGCAGATGATATCACCAAATATCCAGTGTGATCCCAACAGGAAATATGTTGCTCGAAAGGGCAAAGTGATCACAAACAAGAGATCTGAAACAGCCAAGTTCTGCAAGTAAATGTTCACTGACGTCTTCCTCTTCAAAGGCTGAAAGAAAACATAAATGGAGAGGCCATTTCCAACAGTACCCAGGAAGAAGATAGAGAGATACATGATGGGATAAATGACTTGCTTGAAGCCATCAATTGTACAGTTGAAGGAGCTGCTGGTGAAGCTGCTGTTTAGTGTCATGTCAGATATATTCTAGGGCCTCCGTCTTTCTGCCAAAGTAAAAAGAAGTGGTGTGAGTGCTGGGCTACAGGCCAGGCAGTGTGTTCAGCTGTTCAGGACTATTTCACTGATGACAGAAATTGCAAGATGCAGAGGGCAGTGGAAAGTAAAGGTAAGTAAGCACTTGTGATGTCCCAGTAAATACACATCTCAAGGCAATGCCTCAATTCATCTCTAAACAGTTTCATTACTACAGCAGTTGGTTGTTGTCTCAGCCTATGGAAGTGCTGCCTTTTAAAGATGAGTGCTATGTGTGTATTTTAATGGCAATTCTCTAATCTTCTCTGTGCAAAACAAGCCAACTTGCTGTCAGGCATTTTGTAGCAGGGAGATTCTGAGTTCTCAGTTACCTGCCATGGAAACACCAAAATCCGATCAGAGAAGAAATCACTGTCTGCTGGTTAATCTGTGTTTCAAATTAGGAGTAAAAGACAAAAGAATTGAATTTGTCTTCTGGAATTAGTGAAATTTTTCTGGTATGTTGTTGACAGCATGTCACTGAACTCCCCTGAGCAATATTGTTATACATCAGAATGTATGAGTAAAGGACATTTTAACCTTAAACACTGTGTAAATACTATGCTAGTTATGCACGGTTCCTTTTTTAACACCCTCCTCCTTACACTGTATTTCTTCTTTCCTGGAAGTCTCTGATAGCTTTCTCTGCCTCTTTTTCTGTGCCCTTTGCCTCATTTTCTACTTTTTAACCTTTTTTTTGTGCTTGACTGTTCAGCATCAGACAGGCATCTACACTTACTGCAGATCCCATGGCAGTCCACATTTGCAGCCCTAAAGAAAATGGCCTGTGAGAAAATGGGCTGTGTTCATAGAGAGTGACATTTTTCCTTCTATGAGGATATAATTCAATAAAATCAAAGCCACTTATCACTAAAATGCGGTGAATATTTTTTTTTTCATTAGAGTCTATTTCCTTGCTGAACTCCTGATTTCTTCTCCCAGCTGACCTGCAGACAGTAGTAGTGTTTTGAAAGGAAGGCTTTGGTATTGTTGCTTGTTTAATAGTGGGAGCAATTCCCTCTCTGAATCTGCCAATATATTCAAGAGATAGAGCAGGAAAATTTTAGCCTAAAAACCAGAACTACATGGCATTTCTGACCACCACCCTGGGAGGAAAGAGTCAGGGTACACCAGCTGAGCAAGGACAAAGGAAGCTTTTCTGAAACAACTGCTGTATAAGCAGGTTAGATGTAAAGTTTGGATGAGTTTTTTTCTTGATCTCTCGGAAGTCTTTTAGAAGGATTTTCAGCTTCATTATTATGTATTTTATAAATAAATATTTACTTTTAATTATAAATTACATATGTGATAAATTACACCCATTTATTATCAATACTTGGCCATTTATCTTACCATGGCTTGAGTGTGGCTTACAGTAAAGACATAACAAAGACATTCCTTCCTGAAGGTGAATCTAACATCCTTAACTAATGGATGGGTGTGCAAACCAGGTGGGGAACTGATAGAGCAAAAAGAAGAGGAGCTTTGTTTAATTGGAGAAGATACTAAACTATTGCAGGTTAACGAATGGTTAAGAGATTGGTGTCATAGACAGGGTTTTGGTTTTTTTGATCATGGGATGCTATATGAGGCACCTGGACTGATGGTAGCAGGTGGGATGCACCTGTCCCAGAGGGGGAAGAGGCTTTTGGGGCAGGACTTGGCAGGGCTCATTGATAGAGCTTTAAACTAGATGTGATGGGGGAAGGGGAGAAGACCGGGTCTGTTAGGGACAAGCACAAGAGGAACACACCATGGCCCAAAGTCAGGTCGTCCAAGGAGGATTTAGTCCCACCAGTGTGCTCTGTTCGTTTCCTGAAATGCCTGTATGCTAATGCACGCAGCATGGGGAACAAGCAGGAGGAATTAGAGGTCTGTGTGCGGGCTAAGGGTTATGATCTAGTAGCAATAACAGAGACATGGTGGGACAGCTCACATGACTGGAATGTGGCCATGGATGGATATGTGCTTTTTAGGAAAGATAGGGCAGGGAAGCGAGGTGGTGGAGTTGCTCTTTATGTGAGAGAGCAACTAGAATGTATTGAGTTTCGTGCAGGGGCTGATGAGGGGCAAGTTGAAAGTCTGTGGGTAAGAATTAAGGGGCAAGCAGGTGCGGGTGACACAGTTGTGGGGGTCTACTACAGACCTCCTGATCAAGGTGAGGAGGTTGATGAGGCTTTCTAAGATTTTGCTAAGAACAGGCCTTTTAATTCTCATCAATTTCTCCTCTCTTTTCCAAAGAAAGGACCATGCTTTTACTTCTCTAGAACAGAGAATAGAGAAAGCAGCCTTCAAGACTTATTTTTTTTTTTTCCTTTTTTTTTTTTACATAGGGTCTAAACACTCCATGCAGATTTTGGGAGGTTTTCCCCCAAAATATATACATAGGACCTTTTCCAAGGGCTATTGAAAGGCCTTTAAAAGCTTCTTATTTTAATGATTTTACAGTGGAACCTAAAGAAAAGCAGTGCTGTAAGAAGAGCAAATATATGATTTGACTGAATAGAGAATTTCTAAAATAAAGAAAATACAGGAAAAAATAGAGATAGGTAAAGTGTTCTGGAGTAGAAGAACCAGAACAAGTTTCAATGTGGACTAAACTTGGAAGAATCTTTGAGTCAAAGAGAAGGCTAGACTGAGAAAACTGAGAACTGAAAGGATTGGAAAAGATAATATTATAACTCATGATTTCTTATCCATAGGTAAATCTGTAATGTTTAGAATAACCTCTTTTTGAAGACATACATAATAAAAACAAATGTGGTGGTAGAGAAACAGTTTTGAATTCCTGCAGATTTGCTGAGCTGTGAATTCAGAAAAGGTAAACCTCTGAAAGAGGGAATTTAAAAGCATTTTAAAATGCAACATTTAGATAAAACAAATAAACAAATAAATAAGTGGTTATAATAGAAAAATAAAAATAAAACAAAATATGGGATAATCTGAAATATTCTCTTCCATTTTTTTAAATTTGAACAACAGAAGCTGTTACCTGTCCTACCTTACTCCTAAACACTGAAACCCAGAAAGAAAAAACAAGGGACAAAAAAACCAAACCATTTTACACTCCTACAAAATTACACATATTTATATTTCAAAGAATCATTGCATTCTAATTATTCACAGTACTGCTATGACTTTTCACTCTACTTTGAATTTCTTCCCCTTAATAGCAAGTCTCCTTGCTTTCTCTTTTAATGTAGCAATACTACAGAATCTAAAAGAAGAAAGGTAAAGAAAGAGAGAAAGAAGGATAGACTGAGAGTGAAAAGCCTGACAACTGTGTAACAAACAAGAACATAGTAGAAAAAAAATGTATTGTACTGAAGCTGAAAATTCTTTTTGAAAAATGTCAGAAGACCAGGTAGATTATTAAGCAATACAGTAAGATAATTATTTGTTTGCCTTGTTTGTACAATATTAACTACCTAATTTGTAAGGCATGGTGATAGAATTTAAATGCTAATAAAATCTTAACTGAGCTGATGTAATCACAACAAAACAGATTTTATATGAGTACATATCCTGTGTGGAAGGAACAAAATACCCAGCAGGACCAGAACCCTGGACTTCCACAGGGCAAACTTTGGTCTCCTCAATCATCTATTAAGGGAAATCCCATGGGACAGGGTGCTAGAAAATAAAGGAGCTCAAGATAGCTGGTCAACATTCAAGGACCACTTCTTGCAAGCACAGGATCAGAGTGTCCCAATGGTTAGGAAATCTAGTAAGGGTGCTAGGAGACCTGCATGGTTAAAGAAGGAACTACTGGGCAAACTTAAGTGGAAAAGGAAAATCTACAGATCATGGAAGGAGGGGCTGGTCACGTGGGAGGAATATAGGACTGTTGTCAGAGGATGTAGGGAGGCAATTAGGAAAGCTAAGGCCTCCTTGGAACTTAACCTTGCAAGTCAGGTTAAGGATAATAGAAAGGGCTTTTTCAAATACATAGCTAGCAAAACTAGCAGTAGAGGCAATATTGGCCCATTGAGGAATGAGGTGGGAGCCCTGGTGACAGAGGATATAAAGAAGGCAGAGGTGCTGAATGCCTTCTTTGCCTCTGTCTTCACTCCTGCAGGGTCTCCCTATGAGCCCCAGATTCATATAGCCCCAGAAGAAGTCAAGATAGAGGAAGAGTTTGACATGGTAGATGAGGATTGGGTTAGGGATCAGTTGAGTAATCTGGACATCCATAAATCAATGGGTCCAGATGGAATGCACCCAAGGGTGCTGAGGGAGCTGGCGGAGGTCATTGCTAGGCCACTCTCCATCATCTTCAGTAAGTCATGGGCAACAGGTGAGGTGCCTGAGGACTGGAGGATAGCAAATGTCACTCCAGTCTACAAGAAGGGCAAGAAGGAGGACCCGGGTAACTATAGACCGGTCAGCCTCACCTCCATCCCTGGAAAGGTGATGGAACAACTTGTTCTTGTGACTATCTCCAGGCACATCAAGGACATGGGGGTCATCAAGAGCAGTCAACATGGTTTTATCAAGGGTAAATCATGTTTGACTAACCTCATAGCCTTCTATGAGGAAATTACTAGGTGGATAGATGATGGTAGAGCGGTAGATGTGGTTTATCTTGATTTCAGTAAAGCATTTGACACCGTCTCCCACAGCATCCTTGTAGAAAAGTTGATCAGGTATGGGTTTGGTGATCAGGAAGTGAGGTGGATTAGGAACTGGTTGAAAGGAAGGAGTCAGAGAGTTGTAGTCAATGGGGCAGAATCTGGTTGGAGGTGTGTGACTAGTGGAGTCCCACAGGGGTCGGTACTGGGACCGGTGTTGTTCAACATCTTCATCAACGACCTGGATGAGGGTATAGAATGTACCCTCAGCAAGTTTGCTGATGACACTAAGCTGGGAGGAGTGGCTGACACACCAGAAGGCTGTGCTGCCATTCAGAGAGACTTAGATAGGTTGGAGAGTTGGGCGGGGAG